CTGCCTCACGTAGTCTACCTAACCCCCCCACCCCCCCCACCCCACACACACACACACACACACATCTTCAAGTCTGCAATTCTCATTGACTATTTAATAAGGAAATTCTCTATTCCTTTGCATATTTATATCTATGTGATTGTGCATTAATCTTTGAACTGTATGTAATAAATGAGGACATATCAAATGTTTGGTGTATTGCTTTCTTAGTGTTGTGGTAATGAAGACAATGTTTGTTTCTCTCCAAATAATTTGTCCTAATTAGGTTTATTTTTTACTGAGAAACTTTTATCAAATTTTTTCTTTTTGATGAAAAAACTTTTATCAATTTATTAATTATTATAACTTATGATTATATGCTTATCATAAAATAAATTATATTTATCATAAAAATTATCTTATCTAAGCACAGTGGTATTTAAATAAAATGACAAATAGAATATTTTGTATTTGAATCAATCTGGAATCAAAAATTTTGAAGAAATTATGCCCTTATAAGTGTAAAACGTTCTAAGGTTATTTAAGTCATTTTAACTGAAAAAGAGCTTATCAGCACTTTTTTATCAAATACTGCAGCAACTTATTATCAATTTCAGCACTTGTACCCAAACACGTAACTGCTTATTTATTAAATCAGTTTCAGCACTTAAAAGTGCTTTTCAGCACCTAATGCTTATCAGCTACTTCAAATCAGCTAATCCAAACGAGCTCAAAACCATGAAACTTAAAGCTGCTAAACCATATGAGAAAATCACTTTTATCTTCTTAGCTTCAATTGGACCAATTCAGAACCACATTAAACACTGATAACAAAGCCACATAAAATATCAAGGTTTGAGAAGACCTGTATGTCCTTCACTCTTTTCGGTTCCAGCCTTCCAAATTTATTTATTTTCGTATTTGATAGAACTTTTAATTACACAAGATGGAGAGGAAAAAACCAATAAAGCTATTGGCTTGATTGGTCACCCCTTGGATAATGGTATGAAAAAAAAAATAATAATCACCACGTATGAGGTAGTCATTATTAGAGCAGCACTTTAGTAAATATTTGAAGGAATGTCAAAGTGGAAGCAAAGGCAGACATTCACAATTTTCGACGATCAAGAGAGTGCAGTACGAAGGTAAACTATTATGACTTTGAGGAGATAAATACGTCAATACATAGCAAACAACTGAACAAGTGAGTTGCATCACTACTTACCTTTCTACCTTACTATCAAGTAAGGTTAGTAGTACAGGCAGCAAGCAGGAAAACAAATCCAATGTGATAATCTCCATTTTATCTACGAGGACACTAACAACATCAGCTTGTACCTGCAACAGGACATAAATTTAAGAAACATGTTAAACTATTTGTCAAATATAATATTTGGGAAGAGGCCATGACAGAGAAGTTTCAATGAATGCTCACGGAATGGTCTGGCAACTTCCTCAAGGCATTTATAGCACCCCTAATGTCATTCCGTTCCCAAAAGTGACGAACTACCTGAGAGGTTAAAAGACTATACTTGTCACAGGCTTCAAGCATTACAAAATGACAAACAGATTTTCTATATCATAAGTATCAAACAGAAAGATCTCCAAATTTCCTACGTAGTCTGCATGCCACACAGTTTTGAAACGCGTAACCAGAAGCTTCAATTACAAACGATCATCAGCTAAACGTTACCTGCAACTTTGTCAGGCGAGATCTAAACGAACTTAGTAGCACATCATGGCCCTGCATAAGATCTTCAATAACAACATTATTATTCTGAGCTGACTCATGCCGTGCAATAGTCTGCTGATCTGTATTCTGCATGTATGCAAAAAACAAAGAGTTGGGCCGATGTTGTAATTACTGCACAAGCCAACCATCATCTAGTTTACCAAATATAGATTGAAATATTGAAAGAGAAAGCTGCAATAGAGTCAGTGTTACAAGTAAAATCAGTTACCCTAACTCCACCTCCATTTCCATGTCTCAACTTCCGAGATGGAAGGGGAAAACAAAGCTGAGGCAGAGAAAAAAAAATATCTTCTCTTTTTATTTTTTATTATTTATTAATGTGGTTATTTTTGTGAAAATTCTTCAAATCACAAAGAGGAGAGGGTGAGAGACTGAGACCAAAGGAGCTAAAGGTTCTCAACTTCCCACAAGTACATGGAGAAAACGAGAAAAAGAGCTTCAATTAAAACACCAGTCGTGCTTCAAAATAATCCAATTCAAAGCTTAATCAAATAATTGTTTTGTGGAGTTCTACCATGAAGAAAAAGTTCAAAAATGATAATATACTAACTCCTTGTAATGGTAACTCTTTAAGACACACTACAAGTATATTATCTGTTAAGTTCTCTACTTGCACTAACTAGAATTTCTTATGTTCACAAAATCAACAAGCACTTTTAGCTATTAAAGATTTTTTTTTGGGCTTGCATAATTTACTTAGCAGTTAGCACAGTGCAGGACGTGTATATCAGCATTTGCACCATTAGTTAGCACATAAAGGTATGTCTGATACACATAGACCAAGCAATATCAACATATCAACAAAACAGAACCATGTAAGAAACAATCAAGTATAGGTGGAACAAGCTCAATACCAGCAAAGGGGCTGTTACTGGTTCCTCAGCATTAGAACCAGAAGACAACAAGCGGAATGTTTGTGCTTCCTCAGCTTTAGAACGAGAAGCTAATAAACGTGATGTTTTAGCTTCCTCAGTTTTTGGACGAAAAGCTGACAAACGGGATGTTCTTGCTCCGGTCCTAAACTTAGAAACAGGCATTGGGGATGCTTCCAGTTCCTCAGCTTTAGGACGAGAAGCTGGCAAACGGGATCTTCTTACATTCTCAGGTTTAATCTGTGAAGACGGCACAGGGGATGCTTCTAATTCCTCAGCTTTTGAACGAGAAGCTGGTAAACGGGATTTTCTTACATCCTCGGATTTAACCTGTGAAGCTGGTTTAGGGGATGCTTCAAATTGCTCAGCTTTGGAACAAGAAACTGGTAAATGAGATGCTCTTACTTCCTCAGATTCAAACTGAGAAGCTGGCATAAGAGATGCTTCTAACTTATCAACATGAGAAGCTGGTAAATGGGTTGTTTTTACTTCCTCAGATTTAAACTTAGAATCAGGCTTATTGGATGCTTCTAATTCCTCAACTTCATGTTGAGAAGCTGGCAAAGTACATGCATTTGCTTCCTCGATTCCAGAATGAGATGGAGGCAAAGGGCGTGTTGCTTCCTCTGCTTTAAAACGAGAAGCTGTCGAAGGGGTTGTTTCTGGTTCCTCATCTCTTTTTTTAATGAAGGTTTCTGGTTCCTCATCTTTACAACAGGAAGGTGCCAAAGGGGATATTTCTACTTCCTCAGTTTTAGAATGAGACACCGCATCTAGCTTAAGGATATCATCCATGTTCAACCCTTCTCTTTTCTCAAACCTCTCAACCAAACTGCGTGTCCTTCCTCGCACTACTGCCACTGCCATTTTAAACAAAGGATTGATTAGAATTCTTTTGAAGTTTTACTTCAAAAAAAAAAAAAAAACGTTTTAAAAATTCCTTTTGTTATAACAAAATTTTATCAGATACCAACCTCCATTCACAAATTTAACCGGATTTAACTCTTTCCTGCCTTCCAAGCCCACATTACCTGAAACATAATGGAAATAAAGTCAATATTTGGTGCCATGCTTGTAACTTATGCATGTGCACGGGAAAGACCAAATACAAAACTGTAAAGCATTACTTTTGAGTTACAACTTTAAACCATTGCTAGAGAACTAAAATGTCGCCAAACCAGGAAGTGGACACAGCGGCTTACGAAGTATCAGGCAAAAGCAAACGATGATCATTCAGACTGCAGGATTTGCAAGCTAATTATGATTTTTCAAAAAACATCATACATCAAACCACTACTCAAGTATAAAATAATTAAATTAAGACAATCTTATCTCTGAACACTACTGAAAGACCAGACTGGAATTATGCATAGTTTAAATTTTGTTATTTCCTTCAAGATGAAGAAACCTACAAGTAGAGTAAATATCAACGGTCCAAATTAGCAGAAAACCTAGAAAAGAATAATAGAGGAAGAATGCAGAAGCAGAACAGCGTGCAACATGGAAACAAACAATAGAGCTTAAAAGCCGATTCAAATAAAGAGCATTTTAGAACTAACGGTTCTCCTGATTATTTAGCGGTGGTAGCAATGATACTTTCTCAGGCTGTTCTCCACCATGCTTGACAGCTGAATCTTTTGCCTCAGAACACTCCCTGGAACTATTATCTGTCATACGCCTGCTATCAATATCTGATTCGTTCTTACAATCTACTGTACAAGGCAACTTGTCAGCAGATTCAGACTCGAGAGTCACAGAAATCTTCTCCATATCGAATTTGTTGTTGGACAGGCGCTTTATGTGAGACGGCTTTTGTGATATACCACCACTTGCCCTGTTTGCAGTAATAGATTCCCTTCTACAAGTATCCAAGTTCTTTGCCTCTGGAATATCACGAGGCACAACACTGGGGACGATAAATGATTTACTTACTGCTGATCCATTAGTTTTTGCAGGTAAATCAATGGCAGAACTAAGCTTCTGGCTCGACTGTTTCTTGTTTTCCTTATAATCTGAAGGGGGAACCACTTTTGGAGAATGAGGAGTAACTTTCTTTATGGTTACAGGATTTTCACCTGCAAAATGGATTTTTAAATGCATAGAAATTAGAACTGCAATAAATGTGGACATGTAAATTGATAATTGTGATACTAGATGAAGTAGAAGAGTTATCCAATAAAAAGTTGCATTTTAATAACTAATGAAGAACTATGACGATATTCATCAAATCCTTCTATATAAGAGTACATCAGTGGCAAGGTCAGATCTTCTAATTACCCAACATTGCATGTAAAGCTACTAAACCTAAAAAGACAGAACAAGTTGGTTCAACCTAATGACCAAGTTTATTCAAGCTAACCATCAGTACACAGACATCAAGTTGGATTTGATATCAGGTCTTAATAAATTACCCAAGACCATTCTATTTCACCCTATGTGTATGGCTATACTTGAACAAGATGACAATATTAGAGTTCCTTAATGCCAGGTTGTTAATTTTCTTTTTAGTTTTCATGGTCTGTTTTCGCTTTTGAGAGGAGGATGTAAAAACAACTTACTATCCACATATATATTCTTTATTTCTTTGGAATCAATGTCAGGTGATGTGCAGCGCAGACTTGAATTAGAACTCCTGTTGCTTCCTACTCTTTCTAGACGACACTCCACATGTTCCTGTTTCTGCTCCAAGTTACTTTGTCTCTCTGGAGTTAAACCAGCTCCATAGGGCTCAATAAGCTGACAGGTAAGAGCACAAAAGTAAAACAAAGAGTAAAACCAATGGGGAAAACTGATCTTGAAACATAAGGGTCAAGTGTAAGCCTAAATTGAAACCATGTACAAGTTTGACTTAAGCTTCAGTGATCAAGGTAATTACCGAAATATCTGCAACCCAAACACCAACATAGTTTTGGTAATAGGCACCACCTACAAGCTTCCCATCATGTATGCAGAGATCGCTTAAAGTTGACCATCCCATTTCAACAGAGTCATGACAAATTACAGGCTCCCATGAATAAACCTTCAGATCAAAGGTGGTAAAAAATCATCAGAATTGCTTGTTTCAACAAAAATTAGAGCAATGCAGAATGCCAGGAGATTAACCTTCAAGCTATCATCCAGTCCACAGAACAGAGTCCTTCCATCAGGGTGAAAGGTCATTGATCGTACTCCTGCAGCCTAGAAGAGCACGTCAAAACTTTCCACAAACATAGCGTATCTGAGTAGATTAAATTTTAATATAATAAAAACAAATATATCGGGAAGCAACATAATGTCCTGTCTCATAAGAAAGAATAATATGTACCAGTATCAATAATGCCCAGAAAAGAAATTATATAAGCAAGAGAATTTTTTTCAGATAGCCAGTTATTCTTGGTTCTACACCTGAGAAGAACGCCACATTCAATTGAAAAGTAAATACTTTGGAGTGGGAATCAAGTCTAATGGCTTCAGCCCACCTATCCTTCTAATGCATCCAAGAGTAAAATGAAACATAAGGGGCACAAAGACAGCAGGAAATATTTCTAACAGGTAGATATCCCAAGACATTATGTACCCTACTGTCTCTTCCGATCATCCTCTGAGAGACATGGTAGAGAAACTCGCATGAGACAACCATTTAGATCTTATATTGCTTATCTAAGAAAGAACCTCATAATTATGCTCACTAAATAACTGCTTCAATCAATTCATGTAGTATAACCAAGTTACTGGTGCAACTTCTAAATCATGTTTGTAACAGCAAAATAAAAGAATATTTAATTTAGTTATATGAGCATTTTGATACAAGCTCATAACAGAAAATCTAACAAGAAGGCAAACATCAAGAGGAAAATAAGTTTTTGGGGTAAGTAGCCAGAGTTACTTCATAGCATGAAATGTAGACAAATATCTTGATATGATCTAACAACCAACAAGCACACAACTAAGAATACCTTCCAAGATCTTGCTTTCACAAGGTGTAAATTTTTCTTTTTTAAAGAATAAAAAGTTGAAAGAAAATGGCATAGATACCTCACGTCTGGTAGATCCAATCAATTCAAATGTTTCCAAATCCCAAAAGTTTACAGTACGGTCCGCAGAACCTGAGAACAACTCAAGTGTTGAAACAAAGTCACATGGTAAGAGCTGGAAAAAAAAAGTATCTTTATTTGGAGAGAGACTATGTACAAAGCTTTATTGAGATTTGAGAATAAAATATTTGATCCTGGTTGAACAATACAATCTTATGATGGATCTGGTTTTAAAAAACCATCATAAATGGACCATAACAAGATTTTCCTTATAATAGATGGAGAGCTAAAAAAAAGTTATAACCATTTTCAACTCTCAAGTACACCACCACTTTTGAAATTCTCATAATCTGACCAATAAACCAGTGAAACAAGCCCTATTGCTTCTTAAACACGCACCTTCTTCCTGTGATTCCTTTATTCATCTAAAATTGACCAGATTCTCATTTCTAATCGAAAGTTAAGCAAGTACAAGTATTTATGACAAAGGAAGGCAAGAACCCAGAGCCTTTTGGCAAGCCAATAAAACTAAGCGGTATGTTAACCACAAAAGTAATGATAATGGATCCTATTTTTAGAAGATGTAGAATCACAACTGGAATTTGAAATAAACCAAAAGAAAGGTTAAGGACAAAGGTAAGGAGAATCATTTACATCAAAAGAAAAAGGTAAGGAAAAAAAGAAAGTCAGACAAGAATTCGTTCAGAGAACCAATTCTATGATCGGGCACAGAATTTTAAAAAAGTACCTGTTGCCAGAAGAAACTCAAGTGGATGGAAATCTATAGATCGAACATGCCCTTCATGGGACTTGAAATCATGCAAGAGCTTTCCAGCTGTTAGGTCCCATACCTGACTAACAATAAAGGTTAATACTCTAGCAAAAAAAGAGTCTACTAATGTCACATCTTTTGCCAACTTAGGAATTACCTTCACAACATTGTCAAATCCACCAGAAACCACCCAGCGGCCATCAGGAGAGAATCTAATGGTACTTATTCCTCGAGTGTGACCTTTGTATGTATGGATGCACCCTTTCTTTCTTATATCCCATAACTTGAGATTAGTGTCCATAGATCCAGATGCAAAAAATTCACCAAAAGGATGGAATTCACAAGCCGTGCAATACGATCTGTGTCCATTAAGAGTGCGAACCACTACACTTCAAGAACATTTACCAGATTAGAAGTCAACCTAGACATACTTGCTCATCTAAGAAATAGGATCACATATTTTAGTTAATAGGCAGATAATTCAACGCTTGAATACGTTCAGTTAAGTATGACTAATATCAATCCTGAAATCATAAAGCAAGTTTCTTGTCTAAACTGCAGATCCACATAGATGCTCTTTCAGTTCCATATGAGTTGATTCATAAATACATGACCATGCCACTAAGTGTTAATCGCAATTAACTGTACAGCATAACATCGTGAAGCAGTTAGCTTTCTACTTGCATAAGCAAATCAAATCAACAAGCTGTTTTACGTAAAAAGCCCTTTACTACCGTCAAGATATACGCTTGGCTCATTTACACCAAAATCATTGGGCCAACTAGCCAAGGCAACTTTGGCTGATGCTTTCTAATAACTATAGGTCTAGCAGGTACTTAATATGTAGGCCAAATGCTTAGAGGATAACACATCAAAGTCATCAAATAAACATTTAGAACACATTCACTGCAACACTTTAAGAGTAAAGCTAGTACAAATTACAAAATATAGAGTTAAAAAGAAACATCAACTTACTTTTTGTTTCTTCCAGATCCCATAGCTTTATTACACCTGATGAAGATCCAGCAAGCACTAGAACCTCTGCTGAGTCAAACGCTACAGATTCTACTGGACTCGTGTGACCACTTAGGCTCTGCAAAATTGTACAAAGGCAGACCTATTCAATCTGAGATTTTTTTTTGATAAGGTAAATTATATTAATCAAAAGGGAGAGAACTCCCGTATACGAGAAGTATACCAAAAAGTAGAGAATTTACATCAGAGCATGATTCTCTACAAATGACGCCCAATCTTCTATACAAGTAGGGGCTATATGAGTGTACCAAAAAGCGATCAAAGATAAAAGACTATTCTTAAGATGTGAAAAAGGAGACTCAATACCGTCAAAAGCTCTCCTATTTCTCTCCCCCCAAACTATCCACATGAGAGCTAACGGGGCGAACTTCCACGCCTTTTGCTTTCTTCTCCTACGGAAACCGGCCCAGCTATATAACATTTCCTTTACTGTGCTTGGCATCACCCATTGAACACCAAAAAGATTCAGGATCGCCCTCCACAAACCCGAGGACACAGGGCAATGCAACAAAAGATGATCAACTTTTTTCCCTGAGCTTTTACACATGTAGCACCAACTAACAAGTATAATTCCTCTCTTTCGCAGATTTTCAGCAGTCAAGATCACTCCCTTCGCCGCTAGCCATGCAAAAAAGCACACCTTTGTGGGCGCCTTAGGAATCCAGATCGAGGAGTATGGAAAAGTGGCCTCCTCTCTCACTAACATACTCTGGTAAAAGGACTTTACGGTGAACAAACCATCGCCACGCAACCCCCATCTCCAAGAATCACAAGATGGGTGGGGCCAGTCTTCTGGTTTGAAAGTCTGAAGACGTGGGGGAAAGAGACCCTCAGAGTATTCTCTCCACACCACCTATGATTCCAAAAGTTGATTCTCCTTCCATCTCCCACCCTGTAAGTGATGTTGCCATTGAATCCTTCCCAATTCTTCATGATGTTCCTCCACATGCCACACCCGAAAGGTGTTGTGATCGCCTTGGTCCTCCAACCACCTCCCGTGGAATCGTACTTTTCTACTATGACCTCCCTCCATAGAGCATGCTCTTCTACCCTGAATCTCTACAGCCACTTCCCCAACAAAGCTCTGTTGAATACCCTAAGATCTTTTACTCCAAGTCCACCCCACTTCTTTGGGAAAGTGACAGTCTGCCAATTCACTAGATGAAGCTTTCTAGTTATATCCGCCACATCCCAAAGAAAACTCCTTTGAAGCCGCTCCAGTTTTACTGTGATGCTAACAGGAACTTGCAACAGGGACAAGTAATAGGTGGGCATACTCGATAAGGTGCTTTTAATAAGCACTTCCTTACCGCCTTTTGACAAGTACCGTTTCTGCCAACCTGCTAATCTTTTTTCGACCCTTTCGATCAGTGGATTCCAAACCGTAGTATCCTTATGTGAAGCGCCCAATGAGAGACTCAGGTAATTAGTGGGAAGAGAGCCCACCTTACATCTGAGAACATAAGACAAACTATCGATGTTAGCAACCTCACCCACCGGGAAAATCTCACACTTGCCGAGGTTGATTTTGAGTCCTGATACTATCTGAAACCACTGTAGGACCTGCTTCAGGTAGGTCAACTGATCCATATCGGCATCATAGAAAACCAGGGTGTCATCTGCAAAAAAGCAAATGAGAGACTCTTCGGGCACTGGGCGCCCCGATCGAAGGTGAAAATCCTCGCAAGAAGCCTCTGCCCGCCGCACAATCCAACATTTTATTCAGAGCATCCATCACTAGAATGAATAGCATGGGGGATAGGGGGTCACCTTGCCTAAGACCCCCGGAGCTGCCAAAGAAACCACACGGGCTACCGTTAGCCAGGACAGAGAATCTGACTGAGGAAATGCAGAACTTGATCCATCCCTTCCATCTTACCCCAAACCCCATCCACATCATAATGAAATCCAGGAACTCCCAGTTGACATGGTCGAAAGCCTTCTCAAGGTCCAACTTGCATAGTAAGCCGGTTTCTCTATTTTTCCTTCTGGAGTCTACAAGTTCATTTGCCACCAAACCAGCGTCCAGGATCTGTCTACCTTCCACAAACGCATTATGAGAGGACGAAACAGACACGTCAAGAACCTTTTTGAGTCTAATGGATAGCACTTTAGAAATAGTCTTGTAAATGCTCCCCACGAGACTGATAGGCCTGTAGTCTCTGTTACAAGATGCACCTTCTTTCTTAGGCACAATGGTAATAAAAGAAGCATTGATACTTCTCTCGAAAACACCATTCACGTGGAAGTATTCAATGGCTTCCATCAACTCCCCCTTAATGGTGTCCCAACACAACAGAGTTGGAAGAAGGCCAAGGAGAAACCATCAGGCTCGGGGGCCTTATCACCAGCACAACTCGACACAGCCTCGTGCACCTCCTCCTCCTTGAAATCCCTTTCTAGCCACTCACTGTCTCCCTCCCCTATGTGTTTGAACTCTATTCCCCCCAACGTAGGCCTCCAAGTAACACCTCTTTGTATAAGTTCTCATAAAACCCCACTATCGCCCCTTCACCTCCTCCTCTCCCTCAATCCTCACCCCATCCACAACTAAGGACTCTATGAAGTTTCTCCTTCGATTTGCAACCGCAGCTCTGTGAAAAAACTTGGTATTCGAATCCCCCTCCTTTAACCAGAGCGCCCTTGATTTTCGCCGCCAACTAGTCTCCTGAGCTATTGCTAACTCGACTATTTCCCTCTTAACTTCCCCCAGTCTTGCTTTCTCAGATTCATCTAACTCCCTCGTCCCTTCCCCTCTCTCTAATTCCCCCAATTCATGCATAAGCTCCCTCATTTTAACCTCTACCCTCCCAAAAACCTCCTTATTCCACCTAATAATATCTCCCTTGAGCAGTTTAAGTTTCTTTGAAAGATGAATGAAGGTGTCCCTGATACCCCATAGCTTGTCCACCATTTTTTCACTTTGTCACCAAATCCTAGCACTTTCAACCACATGTTCTCGAATCGGAAAGGAGCACGCACCCCCCTCCAATAACTAAATGAATTAAGATAAATAAAAATAAGATCATGTAGCAGTCACCTCTTAACATCACAGTCAGTCAACAAATAATTCCATGCATTGATAGTTAGATGAATTACCAAATCACCAGACACTCGAAAGGTTTACAGTTCCATATATTTTTGTTCTTTTTTTTCAATGAGGGATGTGTCCGGCTTGCGCCCACCTCAACTATTCCACCAGGTACCTTCTCCTTCCCACAAGCAAAGGTACCGGGTAACAACTGACCACCTCGGCGTAGGCAAATGGGAAGAAATCGCCTACTCCCTCTGTTTCAATTTATGTGCAAAGTCTAGATAAACACGGAGTTTAAGAAAGAAATGACGACTTGAATGGTCATAAGCATACCATAACATTTGTGCAGCTACAAGACATTTGAAACTTGCGGTCATAAACATTACATAACATTAGTGTGGTTATAAAAGCTTCTCATTAAGGCTAATATGGGAAGTGAAGTTAATTTGTTGTCAAATTTAGAAAGTTGTCATTCCTTTTTAACAGACAAAATAAGAAATGTTGCCACATAAACTGAAAGGAGGGAGAAGTATTTTTTGCCTCTGCTGGGATATGCTATATAGTTGCATTCTTTGTTATAGCACAGGTTGTAACCAACACATTAGTAAGATGAATGAAAAAATTCGGAAACATGTGATCCACATGTTTCATGTTTCGGATCATTCAAAAGAAACCGCGGGACTCTGGCATTTTCAAGCGGCAACTCAAAACTCAACTGGTAAAGACTTTTATAAGGCACCAATAAAGGAACAATGTAATGTCACCTCACTTGGAACTAAATGGCAGCACTAACAATTTCGAAAGTTCCCTTCCCTGTCCAAATTGCACACGTTATGCTTGGTTCCTCAATCATCACTCATTCTAATTATCTAGACTAGGATTCAACAACAAAAGCAGCAGTAGCTCTTCCAGCATAGAAGGCATAATCACAATAGATCACCCATTTACTGCATTTTGCATTTGAATTAAAAATTCATAGAAAAAGAAAGACCTCATTGTTAAAGTAAACTCAAATATCCCAATTAAGCAAAACAACATTTCTCAGGCAAGTGAACTAGAAAAGATGGAATTTTTGAACTCACGGCGGTGGATGTTGGTTTGACAATGGACCAAAGATTCACATTTTGATCATCTCCACCTGTGAGAAACTGCCTACGTGTCTTCTTCCCAAATCTTAAACAGTTTACATTCCCAGAATGCGCCACAAATTCCTCTATATTCCATATTAGTCAAGAATCACAAACAACATACTACGAAAAATTAATACTTCTCCACATACTTGAAACTAAGAAAAAATGAAAAAAAATTACACATTGAAGTTCAAGATATGCACCTACAACACTAAACTATTAGCTCAATCAAAAAGCGTAGGGGAAAAATCAGAATTTATTAATCCCAAACAAATTCAAAATTTTGAAGAAAAAAAAAGTTACTAAAGTCCTCCTTCAATTTTCAGCTACTTACTACTATATAGCTTTGTATAATATTCTCAGATCAAATAAAAATAATAACATCACAATAAGATTCAAATTTGAACCGCATTTAAGTAAGGAAGAAAAACCGAGGAGAAAAATTCAAAAAGGATACGCAATTTGTAGCCACGTTTTGCCATTTCCGTACAGCAAATCGGAAAACTCGGTACGAGATTGGAGCACCGACAAATGGCGACGTAGCGGTGGACGGCGAAGAGAAGAGTTCTGTTGTGGATGACAGAGAGGAAGGAAGAGTGAGTGGAAAATCCACAGAGAAAGTTAGGAATCAATTTGTCTGAGGGAAAAGGAAAAAGCAGCTAAAAAGGGAAAGGGAAAATTCACACAAGGATTTGAAGAAAGAAGAGGACCTGAAAAAAGAAATTGCCAAAAAATATAAAGGTAAGATTCAAACAACAGTGAGTCCAGATTTACTAATTTACTCCCCTAGTTCTTTACTGTTCTCTGTAATTATAAATTTATACTAGTAAAATTCTCCCTGGGATTTTAGGGAAGAGAGGGATTTTTGCTGATATAGAATAAAGTCGCAATCATTACAATTTATATAAAATAATTACTCTTATTATAAATGCAGAAATATTTAAAAATATTGTAAAATCAGAGATCGGTAAATTCTGAATTTCAATTTGTGTTAGATCGTCAATATTATGTCGTTGTTGTGATACAACAAGTAAATTACTATACCATTTACCATCCCCTCTCATCCCAAAAAGAATTTAAGAAAAAGGAAGAGAAAAAAAAAATAAAAAAAAAAAAGACGAAACCCTGTTGTTAGATCTGTTTGGATAAATTTTTCAGACTAGGATTTGTTTATTCTTTTTTTTTAACCGGAAGACATGTGATTTAACATTATTTTCTGGTATACAATTATTGCAGAATCTTTGTTTTTCAATTTGAATTAAAAATTATTAGTTGTATTGACTTGTCCAAACATTCTAGCCACTAACAAAAACCAGCTCTGGTGGTCAAGGACCATTTGTCCCCTTTTTATCGTTTCTTTATCGTTTTTGGTCTTTAATATCGAAAATATTATTTTGAAAAATGTCGACACACGTAAATGGTAGGTGGAATTTCATTTTAGCGTAATAAAAAATTATATTTTATAATAAAAAGATAGAATGCATTAAATAAATAATTGAATCAGTGAACAGGTTACCCAATTGAAGAGCAGTTGCAGCTTATCCTGAAAAACTTTTGAAAAAAAAAAAGATAACGAATACAATAGTAATCTTTAAGAAGAATAAATATTTAAATTAGCAGACAAACTTCCAATATCATCCTTTACCTACCAGAAGAGAATAAATAAATTAGCAATATCTCAAATAGGAAATACATAATTTTCGCCTCTAAAGACAATGGAGGGAACAGAGATTTTCTTTGCATTTGAGAGTTTAAATAATGATGAAGAAGTACTTTAAGACCTAATTTTTGTTAAGAAAGCAACGTAATGTATATTAGATGTTCAGTTAAGTTTTGTCTTTATCAGAAAAATATCGTTTTTGAGCTTTCAAGTCAACTTTAATAATAAATTAAAAATTAATTAAAATACTCATAGTGTAATTTAGATAGAGGCAATTCAACAAACTCATAATCAATTACGTTGTTTTTCTTCTTTTTTATTTTTTTAAAATGAAATGAGGAAGTTCGAGGTAAGAGAAAGGGAAAAGAAAAAGATTAGGTGAAAATGAATAAGATGAGAGTATTCAAGAAATGTGACTAAAAGAAAAAATCATATGAGAATCGAAATTTATACTCAAAAAAATATAAGGTTACAATTCTTTCAATAAGCTACTAGCTGTAAACTTCTGACTTAGAGCATAATTCGAATCATTTATATTCCTAACAAGAGAAAATAATATTAAAAAAAGTTATCCGGCCTTTAATTATCAATTAAAAATAAAGTTAGTTATTGAGTTTGGTAATTGCACTACGTATTTTTTTCATGTCATCTTTACTGGAAGAGGATTAAGTGGTGAAGTGTCATTGTCAACCCCATTAAATTAATTACTAATACTCAAAATGATCCATTGATGCATTTGACTTCTTTTTGAATAATTGCCTCGAGATTAATGCTTAATCGCTAAATAATCTGCAGATATCCCAAATTGTGATAGTCTACCAACTTTTTAAAAAATGTTGTTTTAATAGAATATGATCGTTATTTCTAGTAGTTAAATAAAATAAAATATAGGTTCACTAGTTCTATGGCTAAAGAAATAAACTTTTACCATCATTGTTGTTTTCATCATTAGGACAATAATTATGGGATTTTCCATGCATAATGTTATAGCCAATAAAGAGGGTGAACTATTCTTAGTGCAATTATTATAACTTCCTAAGAAGTAAGAATAGGTATGGGGCATTGAAACCTCTTAGACTTGAAGTAAAAGGAAGTAAGGAACAAAACTAACTTATGAATTATGACTACATTTCTAAAACACAATAATTCATTTAACTAGTTAATTCCAAAATTATGAATTCTTGATATTACCAACTGGTATAAAAGTTTGACACATATGAGTTATGATCATTTGGTAGGAGAGATTAGAGATGTAAGAACAATTCGTTCTGCTCTACGGAGGATCTGTTTCCTGTCTTCCAGGATGCTAATACGGTCCCGGATCCACCCATGGCTGCAGCCACAAGTGCAGGATCGATGGGAGATAGGTGCTCCCAAAAGACAACCAGGGTTTGCGAATTACATCAAACACAATTATAGATCTGATTTAATGTAAATCTAACTTTTGATTGTAATACAAAAAAGATTGAAAATAATATTTCAAAGTTAGACGAAATTGCAATAACCTTAGCAATTATTGATTGTAACAAAATCTGAGCTAATGTGTTGTTGCCTGCTTGTTTGGAGGTTTGATGATAGTTGATCATCATGCTTGTGAATGTTCATTGTATCACCTTTTAATGAATTGCTTTTCACTGTGAACAATGTGCCATGTTCCCTTACCATTATGTTTTCTATTTTTCATTTTGTCATATCAATGTTTTTTAGGCCAGTTTTGCCCACTGCAATTATTTCGTCGGGAATTTGTTATTTTTTTATCGGTACATGCCCGGTGTAACTTTTGTCCACCAAAATTTAGATATTTTGGAAAGAAATTACTGCTTTATTTTTTGTTTATATTGGAATTTTAAGACCATCTCCAACTCAACACCATTTTTGACGTCAAATGCTATTTTGGTGTAAGATTTAATGTTTTGGTGCTCCAACCCAACACCATTTCTTACACTATTTTGGTGTGTGAATAGTGTTACACCAAATTTGGAGTAACATTATGTGAGCGTTACTGTGTTAAACCAAAAATCAGACAAAACTGTTAGAAAAATAAAAGAAACTGGAAAAACATAAGAGTTTAAGAAATATTCCGAGTCCACAATTTTCTTGTGTGTCCTTAAGGAATTTTAACCCCCTCACACGTTGCCAAGGTAATGGATTAAATCCTCCCAGGATAAAACGGAATAAACCTTCCTGCAACAGTGGCAATACAAACTGCAGGATACCAACGAACTCAAAGAACGGAGCAAAATCACACTTACGAATTTGAGAGAGAGAGACTGCGAATTAGGATGCAGTATATTCAGAAAGAAAGAAGTTCTGGAGTGTTTTTCGTGTGTAGAAAATGGAGCCTTGCCTCAGAATTTATAGGCAATTATCAGAAGAGGTGTATGGAAAAGATGCCTTTTCAGAAGAATACGCTGCCTGCCGCGGTTCTACCGCGGTCGCGGCAGAACCGCGGTCAGAGGGGCTTTCTGAACCTGCCTGTCGCGGTCGCGGCAGAACCGCGGCCAGAGAGGCCCTCTGAACCTTCAGCAGCAGGGTAATTAATTATTAAATAATTAAATAAATTTTGTCCAAAAATAATCTTATCGATCATTTGACAAATCCGAATCCGAAGCCGAAGCCGAAGCCGAAGCCGAAGCCGAAGCCGAAGCCGAAGCCGAAGCCGAAGCCGAAGCCGAAGCCGAGCCGAGCGAGCGACGACGACGGCGCGAGGGTTCATTCTCTTCAACTCCTTTTATGAGCTTTAAGAAGTGATTTTATATATAAGCACACAAATGTGGTTGTCCCTCACCAATGAGGGACAAAGTGCAAGATAAAAGTTCACTTCTTCAAATTTTCAATTTTCCTCCATTTTATTTCCCTCCATTTTCAATTCACACTTCTTCTACTTTAAAGCCCAATGGCTTAAAGTCCAACAATCCCCCACATGAATGGGAATGGCTGTATCAAGAAAGATCATAGATGAAAGCTATGTGATTTGCAAGTAAGGATTAATTGCATCTGGATAAGTAGGTTTCCCTTTGAACTTTCCGTAGTGAACATATGTCGGATATACTCGGTCAATCGGTAGATTTGATATCTTTGAACCGTCGAACTTTAGTGTATACCTAGACAACCATATGTCACACAATCAACCCTTAACCGTCTTTTAGTTCTCATTGTTCGTTTCAGCCATGAACACCGCCTGGTCTCATAAGTGCGTAGAGAATTGGCCTTACAAAATTCTCATTGAAGCGGCTTCCACTTCATACATACATAGGTGATTCCTAAACGTGTAATCCTTTAGATTGACACTATTTGATAACTACCACATCAAACTTAGGTAATCATTAAAGAACGTGTAAAGTTCTATCCTTGTTACTGAACATTGTCTTCATCACGAGAAGGGACCAAAGATTTTACTTTGACAATGTTGAACCGGTCAATTACAACTTTGTTTGAGCTCCTTGAACCTAGATCTCGGAACATCCAAAATTCTAGGTAGAGTTACCGCCATGTTGACTTGTCCTCGGCTATAGTCCCATTCCCTTAGATGATTTCTCAACTCCCTCTCTAGTTAAGCCTTTTGTAAGCGGATCCGTCACATTATCCTTTGATCTTACATAATCAATAGTGATAATTCCAGTAAAAAGTAGTTGTCTAACTGTGTTATGTCTTCGTCGTATATGATGAGACTTTCCGTTATACATAACGCTCCCTGCCCGTCCTATTGCAGCCTCACTATCGCAATGTATGCAAATAGGAGACAAAGGTTTTGGCCAGAACGGAATGTCTTCTAAGAAATTTCGAAGCCATTCAGCTTCTTCACCGGCTTTATCCAAAGCTATAAACTCTGATTCCATTGTAGAGCGAGCGATGCACGTTTGTTTGGAAGACTTCCAAGATACTGCTCCTCCACCAACAGTAAAAACATATCCACTTGTGGACTTTGTTTCTGTTGAGCCGGTTATCCAATTTGCATCACTATATCCTTCGATAACCGGAGGATATTTATTGTAGTGCAAAGCGTAGTCTTGGGTATATTCCAAATATTCCAGAACTCGTTTCATTGCTACCCAGTGATGTTTGTTGGGATTACTTGTGAATCGACTAAGTTTACTTATCGCACAAGCTATATCAGGTCGTGTACAGTTCATGATGTACATTAAGCTTCCCAACACACGAGCATACTCCAATTGAGACGTACTTTCACCTTTATTCTTTATAAGATGATGATTTAAGTCAATTGGAGTTCTTGCACTTCTAAATTCCAAGTGTTTGAATTTTTCAAGTACCATTTTCACGTAATGTGATTGAGACAAAGCTAGACCCTGAGGAGTCCTCTGGATTTTAATTCCTAGAATTACATCGGCAACTCCTAAGTCTTTCATATCAAACTTACTAGCAAGCATACGCTTAGTAGCTTGAATG